AACTTGCATGCAGTCTCTTGTTTATTTTTTGTCGGCGAAAGTCGGGTTACCGAGAAATAAACAATTTGATTTTGTTTATTTCGCGGTGACACGGCTTTCGCCATTTACACACTTGAGTCCCATGATACCTCATTAAAAAAAAACACGTCAAAGATGAACAAGAAACTGTATGCAAGTCTGTACTCTAACGATCCTGGTGTGTGAAGTCAAGAATGATAGCTCAAACTTTTCCAGGTATTGTAAAAGAAAACTGGTCTAGTGTGTCTATGCGGGCCAGTACACATATACGCCACTGTGTCGTTGTGACGGATTTAGAGGGGTACAGGTGCCCCCAATTCGTCACTTATTTATACACACATGCCCCACAGTGTAGGACAACAATGACGTCATTGTAAAAAGTGCGTCCCTAACTAAAAATCCCACAACTGCCTCTTTCTGTATAAGCATGCACCGTCCATTCCGAGAATACACACTTATTTTCACTGAATCATTCTTTCAGCGAAAACATCGAAAATTAATTCCAAGCGAAAATAAAGTATTCCACAGTATATACTTCAATTCCATGTCAGCACAATATTTATTACACGTGGTTGTCCATCTAGTAACAAGAAGTATGAATATGTGGTCGTAGCTGGCGCTGTTCATGAAGGTATTTTTATTTATTTATATCGTACAAAGAAGTACCAGTATATAACTTACGAGTAAAAGAAATCACAAATTCCTAATCGATTGGATTAAAACTATCGAAGCGTCCATATTATTTATCTACAATCACTACTTACGAAAGTAACTAGAAAAATTATGCAAGTTGTCGGTTGTAACATTGAAAACGTTTATCAAACTTTGGTATTGCCTATTTGTATTCAAGTTTGTATTGTATTTTGTATACACCCAGTTTCTTGGGTTTGCCATTGTCCATATTTCTTAACCTCAACAAACAATGGAAACTACGCGAACAATGAAAAAAAATACCCACAAGGAGATACTTACCTGATAGTAAATGTATTATTATACTCGCAAAGGCTATTTGATGCCAGTACTAGTAATCCAAATGTTCAGCTTCAAGCTATGCAGTCGTCGCGCCACGTCGTATTTGGCATGGACTCCATGCGACGTAAAAACATGTGTAAAAACATTGCTTCATATACGAAATTCTAAAGCGTGCGTGGCGTCTGAGGGTGCTTCGGTTGTATGCGATTCAAAGTACATTGTATGTACCTCTGCAATTCAAATTAATCACGGCTTACCTGCCTCGATTCAATGAATGATAAAGTATCAGAAGAAAAAAATCAATGAACCATTTGCGTGTTCAGAATGTCAGCTATTTATGAATTATGCTAATATTCTAATCGTAAATAGAAAATGTATTTTTAACTGAAATACAACAATAGTATTTGATGCAAAGTCAAAATTCTATGAAGTGACCTCCTTGGGCACACAGTAATTGACCTTCGACATCACACGTGACTCTAACGATAACAGGCAAGTTAAGGAGTACATATCCAGTAAAACACGGTCGTCAGGTGCTATACTCCCGAAAGCCAACTGACGACATGTGATATAATTACGTAAATTGAATTCACTCGAAATTGTGATCTAATCATGGCTGAATGAGTCTGGTGGCTGTTCTTTGGTCATGAAGACTAAGCAGGTGAGACAGAAATTTCGCGGGGCTTGTTCTGTTAAAAACTTTCACGGCAATGTCAACGTGTTCTTTGAGACTGTGTGAATTTAACAGGTAACTATCAACCCATATGCTGCCTTATACGTTTATCTCTTAGTGTGATTTGTGATTAATTGTATTCACCGCAGAAGTGTTACCTCAAATATTATTTCCATTGCGATGCTACCGAGTTTAAGCTTTACGGCCTGTACTTCGTTTCTTTGTATTAAGTACCGCTACCGTCTACTGACGAGTATACGTAAGTCAATGTAAATGTCTAACCGATTAAACGTCACTGCAACACTTAAACGCCAAAAGAACTAAATATAATTGCGACCCTCCCCATTTATAACTGTGTAAGTCAGAAAACAACGACAGCATTATACCTACATCTAAGTATATGTAGCCATTGTACGTGTGAAATATTTGTATTTACTGAATCGTTGGTGCGATACTCCGTCGCGTGGAATTTACACATCGACTTCTCGCTATTATAACTGTTACCAGGTATTTACAGTGTAGCAATATTGACGTTCGCCATTCATTTAACGGTGTTGTCATAGCAACCTCATTGCTCACTTCCATTGTAAACTGGTCGTGACTAAATGAACCATGATATGTTGTCCCCTCAAAGAATTGTTGTTGTTGTCGAGTCCGCTTTCAGAAAAAAAATAATGACAATCCGAAATCGATATCCGAGAGTCAGTTTTCACCGCAGCGGTTCGGAATCCGAGCGAATATCGACCGACCTCCTCGATGACCCCCATAAACTTGAAGAACGTGGCAAACATCGATATCTTGGTGATTTGGCGTCAATCGTTTTTAATTATTTTCTTAAACGATACGTGCGTTTCGATGCATCACAATGAACTGTATTTCAAACGTAGCAATGCGTACTATTAACAAGGCAGTGAACGACGGACAATGACTTACAAAGCTGACTATTGTTAGCTGTCCAAGGCGCCTTCACAGTCAATACCCATAAGGAAAGAAGTCGGATGATAATAAACAAACTTAGTTGAGTTTATAGTGCGTCTAAAAACCTGTTGGCGACGTGGTAAATTTTACTAACTACGCTTTGAACTAATATTAATGCATACTATGGAATTATTTGCACTACCTGTAAGATCACCGTGGCGACGATAAATAGAGTGATTACTCTGATATCGCTGGCGACGGTAAACACAACGAGTACTGTGTTATCGTAAACAGCGATGGGTGACGGAGGAATGCTTAACGGCACACAGCCCTACTTGATCGCGATTGTCTTGTAAAACTTAATCTATCTGTCCCGGTATTATCACACCGAGAATTGACAATTCAGGTCAGTATTAACAATGTAAAGGCCAGTAAACTGGTGCAGTGAACCACAGCCGATCTTATTAATGGTTTTGTATAGTGCAATCACACACGAGACCGTTGTTCTCCTACCGTGGTCGTAGTTGTAAAGTTAAATATAATTATTCACATCGGCTTGCAAGCTTTACACGCGACTCGTTAACTGAAATGAGAACATTTACGGGTTTCGATGTCACGTGATACTTTGGTTCGACTACGTGATCAAATGCACAGTCCTGGTGAGCGTCGTGAATAAAAGAATGTAAATCAACGACAAGCTTACGCATTGCCGGCGTAATTGTAGTGTATACCACGCACATCCTAATAGCCCATGGTCGCCTTTTGTAAAACCGTTGAACACATTTGCAGTATCAATTGCAGTATTGATTGTAATAACTGAATGCAAGTTGTATAAATACAGTATGTTATACAAATATACATTTCAGTCTGGAAATATGTGAATAAAAACACTCCTAAGAATCAATCGAATTAGTCGAACCACGCGATAACACCGGGAGCGATGTCATAAATCGATAGAAATGACACCCATTATCAGAAAATATTGTTGCAGCTGATGTAAACTTAGACGTGAATACATTCTCTTGTTAGTTGTTCTTTAGTTTTTATTTTCAATAAATTAAAATATTCTGTATAAAAGTATAAATGGCGAGTATAAATGGCGAGAGCTGAATTACCACGAAACAAATAAAACAATTGTGTCACCTGTAGACGCCCTCACACCGCATTATGGCGAACACTGTACCATTTCGTATTTTAGTCATTTTTATTGTTTTGTTTTATTTTTGAAAAAAACCAAACAAGAACCAGACTTATAAGCGAGATAGTGTATTTCAAACCACAAAGTCCACTGAGTAAAGCGTTGGTACTACATGAATACTTTTTGATAATAGACATAATGATATAAACCGTTATTTTAGTGTGGCCAAAGCGTAATCATATGCACATCAAGACCCAAACGACAATCAGCCTTGGCTACAATGGTCACTAAAGGAATTATCGGTGATTAGTAAAACGGGAAAGTATTTGTTTGAGTCGTGCTACACTCACCTCTGAAACAAATGTTTCATGATCAATATTAACACCGGATTATGGTGTTCCATCTGACTGAACTAAAAAAGTTTTTTTTTGCAGCAAGACAAACACATTTGTTCTATGGAATGGCAACCTTCTCCAATGCGCGTGGTAATCGGCAGTGAAAAAGCTTAATACAATTGTTTTTAACCTCGTTAAAATTCCATTCAAATTGAAATGCTCTTGCTCAAATTTGCAAATTAGCAAAACAAATTAGCAGGAACTGGTTACGCGCCATCCGCAGACAGCACAGGTAATAAATAAGCTCGTTAAATATGCAAATATGTTTATAGACAATGCCAGGTGGTCATTGGTGCAATACATCGAGATTGTGAAAACACAGTAATGTAAATGTGAACATTAAAAATGTATACACAATTTATGTAAACAAATATGCTTGCTTGAGGGAAGCACGCGATATTCGTAGTTCAGTATTTGAAATATTTTAGAAGATTTTAAAAACGAAATTGATTACGCGAGAAATGAGAAGAAATACACATTGCTAAAGTATTCGAATCTAAGCGCCTGCTGGAGAATTTCTAGCGGCATATTTTAAAAATGTTTACAATCTTCTTTCAAAGTCAGCCTCAACGGAATGACGAGACAGACGAGTCCGGATTGTAAAATAATAATCACCAACGCCCCCCCCCCCCGTTCAAGTTGAAATGTTCACTCCCTCAGTCGCATCCACTGACTGGTGTTTAATGCGTCGCATAATCGGCCACACTGTATTGTACAGACAACGAGCTGTAATTTATGGACTTAATTAGTGTGAGTGAATGAAAAGAAAGTTGGTGTAAGTTTCGCGTATTCAACGTACATTTCACAGCTTTCGTTGACTAGTACTGTTTCTATTCATATGTTGAATACGTGTAAAAACGTCAACACCAGCCACGATTTGAACTTTGAAGCTGCAAAAACAAACCAAAATGATTAAGTTAATGGAGCAGCCGGCAATATAACTATCTATCAGCGTGATTCAGGTAAATATTCCCACTGTCCATATATTTTATCTGATATACGATACAATATTGCACACGACTCACTTCAACAGAATCCAGTGAAAGCCTGGGCAGCGATGCCCACGACCGTCCGGATATGTACAGTTATAAGAAATGAAATATAAAAATAGGAATTTCTAATTTCAAGACACTTGCACGAAATCTTGATGTACACCATTCGCAATAATGAATACTACAACAAATTAGCTGCCATGGATCGAGTTACGTAATATTATTAATTATTTATCATATGTTACTATTTATCCATTCCCAGTCGCTGGATTCTAATCACCGTCCTTCGTGCCATGAAATAGGAGAACGCCACATAAACACTCAAGTATAATATATCGCTAGCTTGAGAACCAGTCCGGAATTCGCGATTGTTCTGCTGTTCGCAATAGTATAATTTCAGCTGCGAGCATGTTGACAAAATACCACAGTCTACACCAGACACCACGGTGTGCAACATTCTATTGCACTCCGCGATGTTAGGATTCAATTGCAGCGTTGTAGCTCATTTGTGAAGTATGTATTTTTAAAATCAATAACGTAACTGTTGAATCTTGAATAATTAATGCGTGGAACTGCCGCCAGTGTAATTACGTGTATTAATATCCGCATCCAAGTTTGAGATACACAAACCACATCCTGTGTTCAAAAAAATAACATAATGTCACAGTTCATTTTAATATCCGTATTTCGAAGTGCCCGGATGCCCAGAGGATATTAGAAGAACCATTTCGCAAAATAATGTTTGAATGTCCTGTATGCTAGTATTATGTACACGGAACCGAAAGTATATTTTATAAGATTGAAGATGTAACACGGTACAGGCCTATTTCGGGTAAATCGTCTTCAATAACGGGAAACCACTTTATGTGGGAATTCTGAACATTTTTAAAAAAATTAGTTGAATATTAAAAATGGTAGGATAAGATTGATTGTAAAACAAAATTGTTGTATTGTGTTTGGTGACGATGAATTAAGACGCTTGTTCCGCGCTTAGAATTGCCTCTACGTATAGGCTTCCATAGAGTTTATATTACAACGATAAGTCAAGTATAGTAGCTTACTATCTATGGCATATTAATTATTAATTCGCGTAAATAGTATGATGACCTCAACTGTTTTACTGTAATATGCAAATTTTACATAATGAAATCTGGACAAATTCTAAATATTTTCTTCGTAAAGATTCTCTTTCTTCTTTAGCCTTTCAACTGCCGGTAGAGCATAGGCCACCGACAGTCTCCTCCCACTCTCTTCTGCTCTGGGCTAGTCTGGTGATGGTGTACCAGTTGTGCCCCATCTTCTTAATTTCCTTCAGTTTGTGAAGATTACCGATATTTATATTGTCCTTGACACGTGATCTCTTTTGGTCGACCAATGGAAGGCTGGATGGTTTCAAATATCAGCTTGATATGAAAGTTCGACACAACATAACAAGAAATAAGATTAATGGTACGTTAACGATCTTGTTTAGCGAGACCGTTGACAGCTATTTAACTTTCTCGCAACGCACGACTTCACAGGTTGCATGTTTATGCACGCGCGATAATTAACAAGCTTGGCAACCTGACTGTTGTTCCGGACAATTCCACAATCCAATTGTTTTATGAGATCAAGTTTCATACCCATACGCATTGTTGGTACGCCCCTTATTTTATAATACACGTTTCTAATGTATACGATCATCATACATTTATGTTGAAACACTTGATAATATCCCAGGAAACCTCATAAAACAGTACTTTATGACTGAGAGTACAACTTAACAATAACTTTTCATAATAAGCATGCTCCTTATTTGTATGTGCTAAGTAGGTTTTCAAATTCGTAAAACGAAAAGAGGGGAGATCAGCGAACTAGTTTTCATAGAAGTGTACGTTTTATCCCATAGCGTCAAATTATGGTGCGATGGGCTGGAATCCAATTTTTAAAAATAATGGTTGACCATAGAGTTTAGCCATTTATCCATGTCAAATTGAACTACAATCGGACTTAACGAGTAATAGCTGTGTTCATGATATCATAGATATCGTTTTTATTAAATTGGTGATATTTGCCACACCAATCTATAATACGACATGACAGATTTCAGCGACCCGTTAAGTGCTTTGTTATACTCTTTTTTTTAGCTTTTAAAAGCCTATTCAATTTAAGAGATTAAAACATGCACCAAACAGACGTTCTGATTTCAAGAGCGAACAATACATAAATTAATCTAAGATTCCACTGCGCTATAACTAGGACAGGATTCGATTGTCTAGTGTTTTGTATTTTACACAATGGTTCTAACGGCCCTTGTTGGAAAACATCTAATATAAATGGTCTGTTTAAAAAAAAACGTGATAAAAACTCTACATGGGCGTGGAAATTAATTATGAAGTATGTAAAAACCTGTCCGCGGACATAGCAACGGAAAGCTGTGGTTGTTAACGTGGGTCCTCCCTGAGATTAACAGCCAATGAGACTTCACAGTCGTCCTTATAATAGTTTAATGGGATCATTTCCATTCATTGTTCTGGTGAGTGCAGTATAGTTCCCCTCTACGAACAAATTATACACATGATTTTATCGGATAGTCCTGCAAATGTTACACAGTTATTCTGCATGATAGGGATACGATTGGACCCTTATTCCTTTGGCGTGGTAAGGTTCAACATCTTGGCGAATACTATTTTTTTCTCGCGTTCATATTACTTATATTGGTACGACGAGAGTTGTTTTCTCCAAACCAATCCTAAAATCGAAGTACTAATATTTGACTCTGTACGATGTGTTTGCTTACAGTTTCACATTGATAATTGTAAAGAAGATAATAGTTGAAAGATATGAGTAAGGCGATGAAAAAGAGCAACAGTGTTCGAAAGACGACAAAAGATCTGAAAAAGCTGAAAATTGGAGACAAAGGCACGAAGAAGGGCGTAGGTAAAAATTCAGCCCAAACCAAAGGTAAGACAGACATTATAGACGTCTCGGATTTCTACATGTATTCAAAACTAGTATATCCACAAGTGTATAATTGGGATCATGCCTGTGGAGATAAGCAGGTGAAGCAATAACTCGATTCAGTCAATGAGTGGTGCTGGTCTTAAGCTATATCGAACGTTCATGCAAACCCACCGTCTTCAGTCGCTACTGCTATCTTAATGAACACGCTAAATACGAAACCAAAATGAACCACAACAAAGTTAAAGTCTCCTTCTTGGAAAAAACAAAAAACAAACAAACATGACGACATGTGTGCATGGATGGCAAGTACAGATCTATGAATACACTAATGATAGTTTCGATTTTATTTTCAGGAGAACAGACATTGACATTACCGAAATGGGACAAATCTGATTCCGAAGACGATGGTTGTATAAACGGACAGACCGAGTTGAACTCCATTCGAGCTCAGCTTGAGGAGTGCTTCGAAAGAAAGACCAACATTCCCGATAAGGAACTTCAAATATACAATAATACATTCTGTGAAATATTTCAGAGCTTATTGCCAAAAATCCAGAGAAACACATCAAGGGTCAGGTGTCTTGACCCCGTTTACGTCGGCAGCTCGTTTGACGGTCTGATGGTACAACCAAGTATTAACTACGAGGTACAGATACCCATCAGTATCGTGGGCAGAGTTGTTGTGGAAGAAGTTAAACCAGGCTTCGTCGCGCTGCGGGTGCCCGCCGTCGCATCAGGGAAGGCTAACGAAGACCGTTGGATTGGCTGGCGTTCGCATGATAACTATCTCTCCCCAGTCCTAGCCAACCGAATGTTCTACAAGTTTGTTCTTCAGTGGGCCAGCTTACGAGACTTACCAGGTGTCTCAGTAAATGACTACGAACCTGGAAAGGATGTCCGGATTCTAGTTGGTGATAACATAACTATAGTGATTACTCCTATGATTGACTTGAAACGGAAAGAAAACCCCTACCCGTTAGTCGCTAAACCTGCCAGTTACGAATCTGACCCAGCATCGGAATATTTTTGGCGTATATCCTGTTTTGAGAGAGAGACGACTCTGTTGAAAATCATAGAAAAAGCAGATGATGGATGTCGCTGTCGAACCTTGAAAATTTTGAAGGCTCTGCGACACGATGACGACGCCTTGCGGCATTTGACGACATACCAAATGAAGACAGTTCTACTACACATGTGCGACGGTGAGATTGATAAACTGAAATGGCAAAAACATAAAATCGAGTCGTGTTTTGCTGCTCTTATTCGGGAGTTGCTGAATGCCGTCCAACAGAAACGTTTGAACCATTTTGTCCTTGAAGACGTTAATTTGCTCGAACATGTTCCCGACCACGTGTTGACGTCTGCGGAAAATCGACTAAAAATACTGTGCTCCAGAGAGAAGGAGCTTGCCAGGTTGTTGGCTAAATAATGACTACATAACTAGAAAGCAGGGGATCACCCGTAGCTATGAAAACGTAATTTATTTTCAAGTTGATAATGCTATCTATATTTCTTAATATTTACTTTTGTGGACTCTACACTGATTTACACAAACTGTCACCTAACATGTATAACGGTAAAATACATTCAATACTGTAGCCATGTGATATGCCGTCTTGCAACTAATGAACCTTCATGAAATATTAGTATAACGCATATTGTTTTGTGTGGATAGCATTGGTGAGGTAACTTTAACATTACACAGCAGAAAATATATTCACTATGAACTATGTCATGTATTATGAGATATAGTAGTATGAAATGATGACATACTTATATTTTCTCAAATCGTCCGCCAACAATGTCGATATTTAATTCTTTCTTGCGATTTATCGTGAAATAACAATCTTGTATTCGCGACACAAGACATTATATTTTACATTAAATAATTATCTCCTCCAATGCATTCACATCTGTCAGGCGAATAGAAAAACAACGTGTTCAGTGCTCGATAAATTCGGTGTATATAACATAATGCAATATTTAACAAAAATACTGAATTAAATTCATATGTATGTGTACAACCTCAAAGAATTTACACCATACATACAAAACGTGTAAAGTTGGTTCCATGTCGTCCTTACATAATACTTACATAACCACTGCAGAAAAAGGCTCTATACAAGTACATTTACAAGTTGTAGTGTCATATAGTATTTTATTTTTATTTAATAAATGTCTAACCATGAATAATTTTAAAGACTAATAAAGAAAATACAACTTATTTTTGTGATTGTAAATATTCAATTTAATTCTAATTTATCTGTACTTGGAATATCATGAACAAATGAACCAATAATATCTTCGAATTCCTTCAAGTTTTTTTGAGGGGGTGTCCCATGTACATTTCTAAACATAAACTTTGACACAACTTGTACAAACTGCCATAAGTGGGTGGATAATCATGCATATTTAAATTAGCTTGAATTTCCCGCTTGCTGTTCTCACCAGAATAGCGTTTGTGTGCATATAGCTGTAGATAACACGACAAAAATAACATTAACAATAATTTTGTTTTATTTGCAAGTTGAACTTCACAGTTTTCAGAATACATGCTAACGGCGTTCTAAAATGGTAACGGTCAACTACATAATACAAAACAAAATGAAGTATAACTTAGAAAGTGAGATGATATAGTCAAAAAAGATCTGAATTGACTAGTTAAAAAGCTCTTTCTCCAAATAATTGACAGGTAATACTCATGCGACCGGTAAAACATGATGGTCACCAAGTGTACACAGCCCCATTTCAAACATAAATATGCAATGTAATTATGACTAAAAAAATAATTCAACAAGATAGTAAAACATTACATTTTTAGACTAAGCACGAACGTTACGACACATAAAGTATATTCCAATAATTCGACAGACGCAAGACTATATTATATTGATAATTTTAAAAGAAGACAACTCTTTTAAAAACAAACTTGTTTTATTTGGAGAACTGGAAACGTTTGGGACAAACAATCGCGATATTGTGTGTCCGCCACTGAAAGAAAACCACAGGAGGCATCCTCCAAAGTTTGGCTAAACCCTATTCACCGACACGTTAGGCCTGACCCTTTAATTAGCATAACAATACAGGTATGCCCTCAGGTATTTCATGTCACCATCACGGGTGCTGTTCCAGTCGACTGCAAATATCCTGTGATTCTTTGTAAACAAATGTATGCAAAGTACCCCTGGCAACACGATTGAAGCCGTAAGCACCACTTTCACTCAAATGCACGACTTTACTGTATAATGCTGACTGACTGACTGATTGACTTACTGATTGTGTTAGGGGATAATGTAGACATATTTCATGAAATATCATATACCCCAACAACGTATTCTAAAGGTCATCTGGTACAAGTAAGTAATGGCTTCTGTCTATCCGTGTTTGCCTGACTACGCCGATTTATTTACAGTACGATAAAGAGTTTCTTAATCGCCACTGTATGAATTGATAAGGCGTTATTGCTATAATTGGGTGACATGCAGCCCCCTATAAGACAAGCGTCTGCCATGTTTCTATGTTTGCACGTTTTCGACCAACCGACAATAATGTTTACGTAGTTGCATTCAAACAAAGAGAAATAGAACAAAATGGACGCGGTAGCAATTACACTCAATGGCGCGTGGCACAAACACCGGCACCCTGAGCTAGAAATCCTAACTTTGAATCGATTCAGTGTTTATTTTGCGCTTTTATTGGAGTATACGTGCAAGTTGTATATGCGAAGGTAAAACTTTACGAGGGAGTCACTGTGATTTGCCACGGTCGTTACGTTCTATGGGCAGGTACACAGTGCCGTGCGACTCAATAGAAACACTATTGTCCTAATACGTCACTCGAATTAACCAACCGCCGATACTATAGACGCGGACGATGAATTACGACAATGCAAGACTTTTCATTGGCAATATAATTTAATTTCACAGCGTATTAGGCCGAGGTCGATATAATATGAGGTCAGTTCTTGTTATTAACGCTATATACCAGAAACCACACAACAGGGTCATTAACTGTATAGCGGATATCACGATATTTTGGTTGGATTGTTTTCGTTCTGGCTTTAAAGGGCGGCAGTCGTCACGCCGCGTCCTGTTCGATATATGGGACTCATAGCGACGTACACAACGCGTGTTAAATACATTGTTTATTTACTTGCTGCAGTTTAGCAGCTCTTATTGGCCGCTTAAGCTATTTTGATATTACGTTGCGGCCATAGAGCTGCAGATCGCGTCCATTGAGAACCGCACAGTTCGCCGCCCCGGGATCCCGGGGCGCACGCTATTTTTGATGTTATCGAACGATTTCAATGAAATTTAAAACGAATAAAAGTTATCCTTGCAAACACAAACATCTTAGGTATCTACTGACCGAAAATGAAGGACTATTTCTTCTTGAAAAGTATATATTTCTGTGTATAATTAGACCGAACGTAATTTAATCGATTGAACGACGGATTTCAAGATGACCTCTGTCATGTGACCTGATCACATGACAATGACGAAACATGCGCAGTTGACATTTTAACTGAAAATTGAGAATGGCAGGTTCTTGCATTCATTGTGGAGATGAGTTCCAGAAGAAAGTTAAAGGGTATCGCAGGCAATCCATTGCATCTAGACTTAAAACCTCGGAA